TTACGCATGAGTAAACCTCTTTTGTGAACCACACGTGTCACGGGAGTTTCTCTGTCGAACGGGGCAAACCTTACACCAGCAACCACTGAGTGCCAGGACCTAGGTAGCTCCTAGTTCCCTGTGTATAGTGATCTAAAGTGTGAAGGTTCATGAGTTCATTTCTTGGTAGAGAGTTCGAACCCCACAGAATAATATCTGGCTATTCAAATCTGAAGAATCCCCTAAATGATGAGACCAGTCATATGATGCCTGCCTCCTGGTAGTCAATGTAACTAAAAACACTACAGGATATACACTGTGTAATAATAGAGAAATTCTCTGTCCCCCAAGAGGGGTGTCCATGTTAAAGTCATGTAAAATCTGTACATGGGGGCATGACATAATGAGTTTAATGGAAGGTGGATTATACCATTCTGAGATTTTCTGAAAACAAGTAGTGGTGTGAATTCTTGTTTCTGCATGCCTCTTTTTACTTTTTTTTTTTTGCATAGGAATTCTGGAATACTGGAAATACAAAGTACTCCACCCTTTGCCATGCCCTTCTATCAAAATAATAATAGCCCCATTCATGTGTTTGTTATTGGAATGCTTACCATCATCTTCGGTCAATGTCATTGTGGTAACATTGGCTGTTGTATACATTCTCTTATTGAGCAGAAACTTCAGCAGCAGTCAGGCCTTAACATATATTGTATGGCTGCATGCATGCTAGCGTTCATGCAAGCAATGAACTTGCATGTTCCTAACTTGTATGGAAACCAAGGCATCTTCGGTCCTATCAACATCCAGGCTGAATGCACCAGTGTATGCAGCCACCAATGTCCTTTGACTGACATCAAGAAAGGAATCCCCAGTGAAAACGCTGCATTGTAATACTGGTGTTCCTGGGTTTTTTAAGAAGGAAAGTTGTTCTTTGCAGTGAAATCTTTTAATAACAGAATTTACAAAATCACTCAAGACTGGTTGACATGTAATAAACTTGTCCTGAGAAAGCAGTGATTCCAGCATGAATAGAACAATGATTCTTGTTTGGTAAGGAGGCTGCAGGTGGTTCCTGGTGAAAGTCTCTCTCTTTCTCTCTCCCCCTTGACAATCTCATCTGACAATTTTTATTTAATCTTGGGGTCCTGTGAATAGCATCTAAAGAAGGACTCTCTGTCGTTACCTGCTAGAAGTTGTGCTTTTGGTGTTCAGTGACGGGAACAGAGAAGAGGTGGAAAGACAGTATCACTATTGAACCTCCCATTGCCCAATGCATGGAAGTGAAGTGATATTCAACACCTGCACCTTCAGAAATCCACATGTCTATTGGGAGTCTTTCTGCCTGAACATATTATGTCCATTATAAGAAAAAGTGGGCAAATTGGCAGAAGAACAGCATTATCTGGATTATCTAGAAAATGACAATAATGAACTGGATGCATTACCCCACCTTAAATGGTCATTCTGGAAACTTACCAAATATGACACCCCAATGTGTATTTGTGTGCACACATTTGTATCATGAGAAATCAGAAATAATGTAATAACTGTAAATTGGCTTTTGCATCACAGCATACTGAGGGAGGAGTTGTTGATATTTAGTATAGGATCATATGACACAAAGGAGGCTTCGAATGGATAGCATTGCTCTAGCAAATTCTGTTGCAGCAGTATTTCACTTTCCCAAGTCCCTTATCCATGGCTTGAATGAGAATTCAGTTTATTTCATTTATTACTTTGGCTTATATTCAACAGTATTCCATAAGTGGCTTACAATTAACAACATAAAATTAAAACATAGAAAATCGATAGCATAAACATCACAGCAAGACACAGTCTTGATGTGTTACCATTCAGGCAGCAAAATCTCCAGGCATCCCTAAATTTCTCTTCGAAGTCCTGGTCTACGCTTTGTAGACCATCGCCTGAAGAGGTAGGCTTTTATCATACCAACTGTGCCCATTAGAGTATTTCCAAATGACAATATGTTGGTGCTATCACCTCCACTGACCCTTTCTGCATTAGTTATTTACAGCACCTTCACTCCATTACTGACATGATTCAGCGCAACCACTGCGACCCGCGAAGGAATTCAAGAGAAAAGGGGAGCTTCATTACTCCATTTCTATAGCAGCGGCCAGACTGCCATTCAATCGGCTTCCGTAGAAGGGGGCGGGCCTTCCGCCTGGGTCGTTAGCGACGCGGTTACCATGGTACCGGCGATGAGGCGGTTGCTGAGGCCGGTGGAGTATCAACGCCGCTGAAATGAGTGTCGCTGTAACCGAAGGCGAAGCGGGGACAGATGTCGACGTGGAGGCGGAGGCGGCGGGCGTGGGCGTCCGGGATGTTGGCAGCGGCGGCTTCCCGCGTTCGAGGGCCCCCAACTTAAACTCAGATGACCCCCAGGACCGCATCGCCGCCCGCCGCCTTCGCACCAACGCCCGTGTGGAGGCGAAACGACGGTCGGTTTGATAGAGGGGGCGGGAAGGGGGATATAAACACGCGCATCGCCTTGGGGTCCTAAATGGATCCCCAAGGCGCTTTGTAACAATTGAAGCATGAAAGACAAATCTGCCAGGATTTTTCGTAATTGCAAATCCACAGTCCAGCAATAGACATAATAAAACCTTCCTCCGCGCCTGCTAAAATGTAACTGTGACCAGTTAAGAAATGCTCATGAACTTCCATGATCCCACAAGCTGTCAGCCTCCACCAATCTCAGGCGTTGCGTCTTCATCCCAATTCTTCCCCCTCATCTTCCAAATCCACTCTCATCTTTCTGGTTTCCACTAAATGAGGCTCATCCCTATTTCCCACCCCATTGCTTGTGTCTAAAACTTCACTCCAGTTTGGATTAAACAAAAACGGTGTGTTATGAATACTAACAAATGCTTCTGCATGAGGCATTATCATGCAATCAACATGGAATTTTAGGGAGTGGGTTGGTGAAATGTTTCTTATTTTTAACCCTCCCACGTTTTAACGTCTTGATTTCTGCCTTTCTCCTTACCAGAAAAAGAAAACCCATTAGGAACTTGCTTCAGATTAGCTTTTCATTGGTATCCCTACAGTAAATCATGCATATGTTAAATAGATACTTGTGTTTTGTTTTCTCCCTTTTAGGGAGGCTCTTGGAGAAGATGCAGATGCAAAAAAACTGGTAGAGGAGGAACAGAGCAGGAGCCACAAGCAGATAGAGGAAAGTAGACAGGTTAGTACAGAATTAGGGAACCACCGTGTGAATCAAAATGTTTAACTTATTCTGCCTCGTTATTCACTTAATAACAAAAACTTGATGACACAACCTGTGTGTGGGTTTGGGGGGGGTTGGTGCCTTCAAGTCAGTACTGAGCATCCTGGTAACTGCCTGATCAAGTCCCTGCAGTTTTCTTGCCAAGATTTCAGAAGTGGCTTCCCATTGCCTGCTTCCTAGGGCTGAGAGAGAGTGACTGGTCCAAGGTCACCCAGCTGGCTTTGGGCCTAAGGCAGGACTAGAACTCATGATCTCACAGTATCTAGCCTGATGCCTTAACCACTACACCACACTGGCTCTCCAATGTGTCTGAGCCCTGTTCAAATCCCCTTTGCCTAATAAAATTGTTTTCTGTCTTCTCCAGATGTTCAGTTCTAGTTAATTTGAATTTACTGTAGTATAATACTACATTTGCATACATGTATTTACATAGTAAATACATTTGCTGTAGTACTATAAGTAGAAGGCTATATTCATAGTTATAATTGCAGTGTTTTGTATTTGTTTTCCATATATATTATACATAAAGTGTTTCATATCACAGCATGAAAAAGTACCCCATATCTATTACTATGCCTGCTGTATGCATAATACCAAAACATCACAATACTTTTGCAATAACCACAATAATAAAATATTATCAGTATTACCAGTTACCAGTGAGAGCGAAGTAAAATGTTCTTTGACCTATACAGCAGATGCAGTACAGCAAGTGCTTTTAAAGAGCTTTAGAAAGACAGAGCCAGTCTCAGATGATAGAAATAGAATGAAAAATGTCAGCTTTTAGGATGAGAATGAACCCTTCAGTTGTATTTTCAAAGCCCACCCATAAGACATCTATCTCTGGCTAAAAGAAAATCTAACTCAGCCATTAGTGAAATTTGAAAGCAAAGGATTTCACCTCATTAATGCTATGTTTTTAAATCTGGGTTCACACAACACATATAAGTATGTCCATGAAAGGCTAGTGATTCCAGTCAACATGCTAAGTAAGCTTGGTTAGTTGTAAACTTGGTTATTTTTTTATAGCTTAGTGTGTTATGGGAACACCGCTTGCTTGTTTATTTTATTATTTATTTATTTATCAAATTTATGTAGCCGCCCATCTCATGAACATGGCTCTGAGCTGCTTATAATAAAAACAGAACAATTAAAAATAAAAGTTTAAAAACCATGACACAATTAAACATAAATATAACTAAAACCACGGGAGAATGCTTCAAGATCTTACATACAATATAGCCACTTCATGGGCTCCCCACTTCCATGGGATCCTCAAGCCTGCTGACAAAACCAGATTTTAAGGGATTGCCAGAAAATCAGTATGGTCAGCGTGAATCTCACCTTGGGAGGATGATGTTCCATAGGGCAGATGCCACAGCAGAGAAGGCTTGCCTCCTGGGTGCTGCCAGATGAAACTCCTTAGCAGACAGGTTGTAACATGCCCCTCCTGCCTGCCTGATGGGATGGGTAGATGTAACCAGGGAGAGGCTCAGATATTAATTATATTCTGCGAATCCAGAAAGTGGGTTAACTCAATAACTGAGTTAAGTATATTGTATTAATGTGTAATGTGATTCTGGCATGTTTTTTTTCAGAGATTGGCCAAACTGTTGCTTGATGGCACACAGCTGGTAACAAACATCCAGGTGGCAGCTGATTCTCGGGAGACACACAGGAGATCAGAGGAAGAAGAGCTGACTCGGCAGAGGTAAGAACTATGTATTAGCATCCCTTGGAACTATGCAGCATTTAAAAGGTGAAAGAAGGGTAAAAATCAAGCCTAGCACTGTTAGGGTTGTCTTGATGATGAACCTTCCCCTTGAGTTGGCACCTGGGGGCAAAAAGGTCAAGATGTTGGCTGCAACTGCACAGCCGGAGCCCTGAATCTTCTTAAATGTGTAGTGCATGCACTGCATGTAAAAAAAGGGACAGGGCTTTTATTGTGTGGATACCTTCAAGGAGATTGTAAAATTTTTATCAATAGCTGTGACTTATAGAAGCCATCTGATGTCCTCTTCATATTACAAATTATTTTTCAGGCCTGTCTTATGTATGTGTGTGTGTTTGTGTATTTTATCAACTGTATTTGATATATTTTTAATGATTCATCTTGGATTGCAAATAAATATTCCTCAACAACAGTGATGCCCACCCCCGCCTCCCACAGTTGCCCCTGCTTTTGAGCAGAACTAAAACATGCCATCTGTACTCTCTTTTTATATATTAGCTTGAACTTGGATGAATTACAAAGCCCAGCAGACAAAGTGTATGAACAGAAAAGGCTGCTTTGTACAGTTTTTATTTGAAGCTTGGCTTTTCTACAAAAGAGAAAGACTGGGGATCAGGAACAGAACTAATATTCTAAGGATCTTTTCTAATCATTCATGATCCATAGCAGCCCCCAATAATTGTATGGGTTTTTAATCTTCATATAGAACTGAATTGAATTTCATCTCATTTGCTTTGAATGAACTTCCTTGATATTGCTATTCTCAGGGTTGAAAAATTGGAAAATGAAGCCAAGGCCAACCAGGACAAGTTTGATGAGATCACATCCAAGTGGGTCAGTGCCAAGAAGAAGACCATCCCCCAGGATCTCTGGGAGGCTCTCAATCTACAGCAGCAGCACTGTGCTTTGCTGATTGAGGAGAAGAACAAGGTCATTAGTGAGTTGCAACAGGTAGGATTCATGCTTACTGTACATTCTTGAAGTTGCAGTCAGCAAATACGGCTGCAGGGACATGCTGAAGGGTCCATGCTAAGAAAAACACTGGATTTAGAGAAAGGAGTTTTAAAGAGGAAGATGCTAATAGTTTCCAAGTATTTCAAAGGATCTCACATAACATGATATATACTAACTGTGATGGAAAAGCAGTCTAGAACTGGTGATTTGGGCAAACTACCTTGGCAAGAATGTAATATAAAATATAAAGAAAGTTTTATGTTTTCTAAAAGTTATTGCTTTGCAATATTCAGACATAAATCATGCACAGTGTAGGTGCAAAAAGAGCAATAGAATCTCATTTCTCCCAACAGTTAGCCAAATTATCCAAATATGTGAGAAGCCAAAAGTATTTGTAACTGATGATGGGAAGTGGAAATTAGGAGGCAATTTTCTCCTCAGGAAGAACATTCCTGAACATTTACCTCTTACCTGGAAAATTCCAATACACAAAACAAACATCAACATTAATATAGCATCAACAAAAAAATAGCCTCAAAATACTACTTGACTCTGTAGTACCTAATATCTAGAACACTAAAGTCTACTGTATTCACCCCAAAAAAGATGTCCCCAAATAGCCACCCAAAAGAAGAATACAGACAAACTCTCATATACCTCCCAGCTCTAATTCCCCTTGTCAAGAGGGAGTTGCCAACTCTAGCTGAAATCAATAGTAAACATTTCCCCTCCATAACAGTTTATGTTATGTGTATGTGACACATTTGTGTGCATATGTGCACTTCCCACCCCCTTAAAAAAAACAAAATTAAACAGTGATCTCAGTTGTTCCTCATAAAATATAAGATGACCCACTTCCCTCTAATTCACAGGTAATATCTGAGGAAAAATAAAAAAGTTTTCTTCTTATCTGATATATATGCTATTTTTTAAAAAACTGAAAAGCCTGGGAAGTAAAATAGATTCTGATTGCAACATACTATAAATCCCAGATGATCCTCTCTGGGAAAGGCTTTCCACAGCTGGGTACCATTACTGGGAAAAAAAATTGCAAATGATGAGCATAGCAATGGGAATGGGAGCTATTTCTGCTGCCCTATGATCCTTGGAAGAAATAAGAGATTTCGAAAAGTAATAGCCTCAGCAGCAAGAGGACTAAACAGCTAACAGCATCTTATTTGATGCTTTAAAGAAAGCTGCCCAATCCATGACCCACAAGCTACACATGGCTCCCAACGATCAGGTTATGATCCCCAGAGCCACTTTCAGACATGCTGCTGAGTTCTGGTAATATAGTAAAAGTTTCCCTAAACGCTGAAGGTATTCCATCTGCCTCCACATTGGGATGACTGGAAATATTTGTGTCCCCCCCCCCCCCCTGTAATTCCATTTTGTTCACTGATGATTAGCTGCTTGGCAAGCTACAGGATATTGCCTTTTACTGAAGCATGATAGTGTTTCTGCTGCCATAAGCATGGTGATTTTGAGCCACATTTCTGGGAATGAAGGAATCATAGCTGTTAGGGAAAAAAAGCCCAAAGAAAAACACACATTTTGGTCAGTGGATTGGGAAGTAGTAGGTGGGGGAGAAGAGAATTTGTCTCTGCATGGAAGGGTGGGAAGATACAGTCCACATGAGTGTGTTCATCTGAGGGAAAAAGGGTGTGTATGTGTATTGAATATATGTGAGTATGTGGGGGTTGGGGTATCTGGTTGTTGTAGGGTGTGTTGCAGTGCAAGGTAAGCATCATCAAAGGTCACATCCATTTCCTCTTTGCCCTGTCCATTCACAGTAGTATAGTCTCCTGCCCTAAAAAGATATGAATTTCTGCTCAAAAATTTGGGGGAGAAGGCAGATTGACTACATTGGTACAATGAGCTTGCAATGGTTACTGAACTAGCTTATTTACTGAAATTACACAACATGTTGAACTATAAAACTGACCAAACACATTGGGGTCATACAACAGCTAAGCCATAAAAAAGCTAGACACAATTAAAACTAACCAAGCTTTGCGTGCTGTGCTAATGGAACTGCTAGGTCTTGACTGACTGTATTGCTGAACACATCCTCTAGGTTGCTGAACAGCATTCAGTTTTGCAGAGGGAATTTGATATTTGAATAGGCTTTCTGAATAATCAGGTTACATTTGAATATGAGGGTTTGTTTGGAGCTTGCAAATATTATCACTCAATAAGTAAAATTTAAATAACCATTCATAATGGGAAGGGTGAAACAGCGGAATCATGCCAAAATTAATTAAGCTTTCCTGACTGATTTTGCTTTTTAGGAACTGAAAAGTAAAGATGATCAGTATGTGAAGGATCTTAGGAAACAGAATGAAGACATTAATTTGCTGCTGGAGCGAATGGAGGAGCAGATCCGAAATCTTATTAAAAACTACCGTCGAGAGCTTTTGCATATAGAGGTATAGGATTTTCTTTAGTGAAATGTGGTTCTTGTTTGTTGTACATGTACAAGAGGTGAGAGGAAGGAAACAGTGTTATATGTAAACAATAAAATGTATGTAAAATGTGTTTTGTCTCTTTTATTAGTTTATAAATAGTTGTTATATGTTCATGGTAGTCAATAAAATAGATTAAGAATGGGATAAACTACTGACAGTATTAAATTAATTTCAAATAAATAGCAAAAGAGTAAGGAAATAATGTTTTATCAACTCTGTATGTTGAGCTAAATTATTCAATTCAGCTTCAAAAATTAAGGGGACTAGATGGCAAATTAATAACTTTGAAGAGTACCACAGCTTGCAAACCACTAGTAAGGAAAATTGTTTTTATCAGAAAACAGATTGTTTTTTGACTGGTAGGAGATTACAGTGATTATCTCAAGTCCATGAATCTCTCTTCCAAAGAACATGTTGATACTTATCCATATTTATTCAGAAGTTGTCTTTGGGTGGGACTGAGTTCCAGATTAATCTGCACAGAATTGAAACCTCAGATTTCATAGACTGCTCATGACAAATTTTAAGCCTAAAATCGTAATCGTGAGTTAATCATGACAAAATGAAAGTTTAAATTCTAGGACAGTAAGCACATGGGTGAAATCACAGTTAGGAGCCTATATGTGAAGAAAGAGTGAGTGATGCCCATGGCAATAGGAAAAGAATGGGATGCAACTTCATATACCACTGTAAAATGAGTGGTCAATATTGGGACTTAAGACTAGAAGCCTGGTCTTATTTTTATTATTGATTTATTGTTGATTTATTAAATTTATAAGACCGCTCATCTTACATATGTGACACTGAATGGTGCACGTGATTATTATGCCATCTATGTATGTGACATACAGAGTAATATGAAGGCAAAAACAGGAAAAATTCATATGATAGATCTCTATCCTGAGTTCACAAGCTAAATAATAAACATTAATACTAATGTCTGGGGACAAATCTTAGTCCTTCAGTGGAGAAATGCATACTAGGTATACACATTGTATTGGCTTCCTATTGTATCTGTATGTCACCTACGACTATCAACTATAGGGTGAATAAATAAAAATTGCAAACATAAACTAAATAACCAATTACAATAGAAAAACAACACAACATGAAATGAATTAATATAGAGAGGCCTTAACATTTTAAAAATGAAAAATATTTCAAAATCCATTAAAAGCTTAGAAAGAACAAGAAGTCTTGACCAATTGACTGATTGATTCAATTTGTATAAGCACCCATCTCAACAAGTGTTTCTCTTCTTTGTTCTAAAGAAGATTCTTTAATATAACTTGAAAGTTACTTGATCTTACTTGGCAATAACACTTGGGAAAGGCCTCCAGCAATGATTCATCTAGCTAAATATTAGAGAAGTGATAAATTAGATAATCTATAAGCAAAACTTTGAACCGGGACTAGAAATAAATTGGAAGCTAGTACATCTGAAAAAGTAGTGATGTAAAGGATTCAAATTGTAGAGCCGATTAAAACTTGCTTAAGACACTTTGAAAGTTTCTAGATCGTTTTCAGAAATGGTCAGTATACAGCTCAGTACATAGTAGATTATCAGAATTTGGATAACTGAAATCTGCTACATCTGTTTACATATGGTACCAATTGGTTTAGCAGTCAAAATAGGAAAAAATATTCCAAGTCACCAAACCCACTTGTACAACCCACTTGTACTTCAGGTTACAATGCTGGATTCAGAATTATCTTTATCACTGTTAGCTCTATAGAGAGATTTTTCTGGCTCTAATCTGAAATTACTTCTTCACTCATACGGTAAGAGCTGTTCAAATCATAGATCTCTTTTTCAGAAAGCCTTTGAATTAGAGCGTCGTGAACTTCTCTCAAGCAACAAAAAGAAATGGGAGCAAGCCATGCAAACTCTAAACCGACAAGAGGTAACTTGGGTGTTTTGTTGGGTCCCAGGGAGCAGTGATGATCCAAGAGAGTTCTTGAACTGTGTGGAAAAGCTGGTGGAAAAGAAAAGTATATAGCAAATTTTGCAGGGGAAACTTGAATAACATTCTTTGCGTAAAACTGAAATGTTAAATATTTCTGGGAAGGGCCCTTACCAATCTCAAGATTTTTGATGGTCAGATTAATCGGTGATGCTTGAGAGTGAAAAATAGGTATAGGCAGAAGAATACTAGATGTGATCTCCAGAATAATTTAGGGCAACTTTATATTTTAAAATCTGGAGCATGACAAGCTATCTTGATTTTTCTTGGTCAGTTTTTGCCAGTATGTCTTCCATAATGGGATATGGAAGATTTGAGGCAAGGTACCTGGTGAAGATGCACACAATTGTAGGAGAAGTGCTTTTTTCCAACAGAAGGCATTGTAAATAT